GGGGTCCCCGTCCCCTTTCACAATGGTCTGGGCCGCTATCAAATCAGGTCCGTTGACCCCGGCCCTAGATGGTCCCAACAGAACCCCCCGATCCCCAATCCCCTTAGCAAATGGTCGACGCAGCCTAAGAGGCACGAGCATCTGAGCTCCCGGCGGTACGCGTACCGTCCTCGCAACCAGCGCCTGTACCGTCGCAAATGCCGTACAGACAGTAGCGGGGGAGGACAAGAACATCATACGTCGGCCCGACGGGGGTTTGATGCAACCCTGGTCGATCAAGATACGAATTGGCATTTTGGCCAAGAAATCCGTCCCCAACAGGCACGGAACCGCCAGCGAGGAGGAGACCAATATCGGGCCGGATAATTTGATGTCCCCAATACAAATTTGCGCGCGGATCTGTCCGATAATGCCCAGCGAGCCCCCGTTAGCAGCATAGCATGGAACATAAACGGGGAGCAAAGGACGGCTTTGAACAGGGAGAATGTTATAAATTAAATCGGACACAATAGTTGCCGATGCTCCCGTATCAACTAAGACCCGCACCTCAACCCCATCAATATGCCCCACAACGACCGACGACCCCACCGACGCGGCAACAACGTGATGGGCCAACTCAGACCACTGGCCCGGTTGGAACGCCCTCCCCATCGTGGAACATTTCGACGCAATGACAGGCGATTTTTGACCCCCGTTCGTTGCAGTGAGTGAGTGTGTCACAGGTGTGTGCGTAGGCCAAACATGTGGGGTGCCATGACTCGCCGGAGTTTCCTGGTGAGGCTTGGGTAGAGGCGCGACGTCCGGCCGAGGCATCGCACCGCGCTGTCGAGGAGCCCGGCATCCCGAAGCCACATGGCCCCGGAGGCCACAGTTGTAGCAGCGCGTGAGCGCCCCAGACGGCTTGGGCTGATCCTGGCGGCTCGGTCCGTCCCGAGCTGGTCGTCTCCCGGATCTCAACTCCATCGGGCGACCCACAGCGCAGACCTCTTCCGATGGGAGGGTGGTTGCAGCCACGGTATGCCTGGCCGCCGCCTTGCTGGCCTTGCGACGCTGGGACAGCAAGTTTGCGTGGATGTGCCGCGCGGCCCGCAGGGAACACATCTCCGTGTCGTCTTGCGCCAAGACGACAATGTCCAAATCGTCCGCCAACAGCAATATCTTCTCTGCCACCATGGCGTCCACCCCTTCCTCGTCCATCTGCGGGAAAGCCGCCTTCGCCAGGGCCAGGAGAGCTGTGCGGTATGCCAGGGGCGATTCCTTGGTGCCCCGCTGGCGATCGTAGAACAGCTGTCTGCAGTCAGAAGGTGGTCCGTAGACTGCAGACAGGAGTTGAAGCGCCATTTGCAGCATGGCGCGCGCCGTTCTTGGCGCCGAGGTCAGGGTAACGAGGGCGTTACTGTCGAGCATCGCCGGTAGCGCGCGTAGTGCTTCGTCATCCGTCCATTGTGACATTTCTTGGTGAGCGAGGAACCGTCTTCGGAAGGCTCCCCAGTCACCGTCTTCCCCCACAAACTCTTTGAGGGGCGGTAATCGCTGCTGGAACGCGGCGTCCGCAGCCGTAGATCGCGCCCCGTCGTTCCCGCCACTCCGCACAGTATCGGCGGGAAGGGCGGGCGCCATCGGCGGTCGCTCTGCTGGTGACGCGCTGGCCGCTATTGACGACGTGGCGGCTTCTGGTTGGCGAATGTCGGTCACCTGGCATAGCCCGGCCCCGCCCTCAGCACCCACTGTACTGATGGCGGCAAATCCGACTTCCAGCCCCGTTGAAATGGCGGGAACCGGCGTCGCGTGTCGTCCGTCGTCGCCCCGTGCAGCTCCTCCAGCCCCCAGGCGAGTGATTTCCTCCAACGTGGCGGCTGCCGCGTAGAGTAGCTCCGCCAGGCGGGAGTGAGCCAGCCGTAGTCCGTCAGCCGACGGTCCCCACCCGTCCTGCCGTTGCGGTGTGGGTGGACTCGGCCCCGGTTGCTCGGATTCGCCTTCAGCAATCTCGGGCTCTGAGTCGGCCGAGGTTTCCTCCTCCCCCGGTTCTCTGGTACGAGCCGTCCGTCTCGTATCCATCCTTAGAAGACCACTTCTGACGCCAGTTGTAGTAGGTTCAAGGAGACTTAGACGACGTAGTCGGAGGCACACTTATTTATTAACCACAGTGTATATTCTTAATTTTGGAGCTTTCGTGAGTGCAGGAATTATTCTTTGGTTCTTTCGGTAAAGTCACGTATAAAGATAAAATAATAAATTAAATAATAGCATATGACGTTTCGATTGCAACACAAGCAATCATCATCAGGTATAATGAAATAGCGACACAAAATCTAACCAAAAAACCACAGACAGACATATAAGCAGACAGATATCACCAATATACACAGAGAGAGCAACACAGGTACAGAGAGGGGTGATCGTCTCTGTGGGGTGGCCTTAAATAGACAGAGGGGGGCGGAGGCAGAGAGAGGGAGGGGTTAGAGAAAAAATTACATGTCAATGAGTACGAAGAGACGCGTAGTAAAGTACGCAGGCTTACAGGTAGAAAGAACACACTAAATTAAACAACCTAGCAAAGTATCGAAATGTTACGTGTCGTTTTACATGTCAATGAGTACGAAGATACGCGTAGTAAAGTACGCAGGCTTAGAGGGAGAAAGAACACACTAAATTAAACAACCTAGCAAAGTATCGAAATGTTATGTAAAATGACACGTAACATTTCGATACTTTGCTAGGTTGTTTAATTTAGTGTGTTCTTTCTCCCTCTAAGCTTGCGTACTTTACTACGCGTCTCTTCGTACTCATTGACATGTACATTTTTTCTCTAACCCCTCCCTCTCTCTGCCTCCGCCCCCCTCTGTCTATTTAAGGCCACCCCACAGAGACGATCACCCCTCTCTGTACCTGTGTTGCTCTCTCTGTGTATATTGGTGATATCTGTCTGCTTATATGTCTGTCTGTGGTTTTCTGGTTAGATTTTGTGTCGCTATTTCATTATACCTGATGATGATTGCTTGTGTTGCAATCGAAACGTCGTATGCTATTATTTAATTTATTATTTTATCTTTATACGTGACTTTACCGAAAGAACCAAAGAACAGTGTATATTATTCATAATCAACGTTTTTGGGTTTAGATCGCGTTATTTATAAATGTGTCGTAACCCTCCACCACCCGACACGGCCAATCAGTAAAAAAAAGTGTCACGTTGACAAAAGACAAATAGTTAACTGCTTTAGCCCACCGGTGTGTTGAAGCGTGAAACCACAACATTTACAATTTGAGTACGACGTTTCGCTGGTAATTGCATCCAGCATCATCGGGCAATTCGCCAGAATGGTGAGGCTGACCCAGCTCTGGTTAAGCTGGGATTATGGCACCCTGAGTCCCCAGACCGGCTCTTACAAGAACATCGGCTCTGGGCTCTCGGGGGCCACGCCACTGGCTTGCCCTGGTCGGTCCTGAGAAGGACAGCGATCCAGGGGAGTCCCAGGGCCTATCTAGCCGGTCTTCTTGCTTCGCTGGTTTAAGTTGAACACTGAACTCCGAGCCCTCCGGCTCACCGCCTTATATAGCAACTCCCCCACTGAGGGGTGGGGCCGTGGGGGATCCCAGCGCCGTGTTAGCCCCCCAGGCTAAACGGTGCGGACGTGGATGTAAGCATCTCTTCGCGTACGGGCATAACCACGCCCAGTGTGTTTGTTTGCCCTCCCGTAACACCTCTACACATGTTACGCCATGGTCAGTGGAGAGGTCACAAACAGCAGTGAGAAAATAATGTATAGCTTAAAGTATCCACACACCTTTGTGAGCATGCCTGGAATTAAACATAGCAATCATTGCCCCCTACTGCTCGACTACTGCCCACTTGCAGGCCAGATGCCGAGTTGCCTTGTGCCTCCGAGGGACAGCTGCCACTGGGGGTACCCTTTCAAATGTTTGAGATGTGATGCAAGTCACTTATCGCATGAACATCGCTCTGAGATGCAGTGGCACGCAGGGTACTCCATCAAAAACAAATCCTAGTCATTAATATACCGCTATAGATGTATTTATTTAGGAGTTGAAATGGAAATGCATAAATGCCGATATGAAACATATTTGTCAAGCAAACCATGTTCACTGCTGCTTTCAAAATTAAGAGGGATGTTTTCAATTAACATGTTTAGTGTTTTGAGAAGTGTGACCCACTCGCTGTGCCTCTTTGTAAGAATACCCCAGTGTTCACTTCTTCGTCAGCATGCTTGTGTTTTGATTTAATAACTGAATGCGTGGCGATGTTGTAATTTAGACCAACAAACTAAAATAGTTGAGAAAATGTGTTGTGGGAAGCGGTAGTGTAATGGTTAGTGCACTACGCTACGAACCCCGTTGCACAAGTTCGATTCCCGCTTACGGCCACCAACACCAGTGGCGATTATCTGAACCGGTCTTGGGCCTCCCCTTGGTCGACTCAGCCTCAACTAAGTACCTGGTGTGGTGTGTAAACATTGCCACCGGGGAGACAAAGACGGTCGGGTGTGGTGCTGGCCACCCACCCCCTTCATCTGCCATGCCGGCCTTCATAGGTTATCGCAAACACATACCTGTCAACCCATACGGTTTACCAATATTCTTGTACAGGGAAATTGGGGGTTTTCAGGTCCGTACGGCATGCAGCCATTTTAATATGGGCAAAACAAATTAATACGGCTAAATAAAAAAAAGTCGTGGGACAGCATCAGCATGCAGGATCACAGACCAATTATCAAAATTAATAAGTAAAACTGTTTTGTAACATAATTTTTGTCTATTTGTTTGTGTTTCTCCCTTGTGATGGCACTTTGTAGGATGAACGTTGACATTTATAATGGCACGGGGTGACCAACAAGGTCTGAATTGGTCTGTAATAAGGTAGGCACTGATACGGGGTCGACAGGTATGCAAACAGCACTTGCCCCAAGTCTGTTAAGGCTATACGGGGCGTCTTTGTTGTTAAATCCACTTGTTTGCAGCGAGTGGGTTGGTCTCCACGCACGCACCTGCTATTGCTGCCTGTCCACTCTGCTGTCCCTGCGCCGCCGGCGGTCCCTCGTGAGCAGCCGCCCCGTGTTTGGCTCCCCTCTCCGCCTCTCCGCTCGCAGCCGCTGCCGCCGGTTTGTCACCGCCTCCCTTTCCCGCTCCCATCGCAGCACCGCCCTCTGCCCCCTTCTTCACGTCCACGTCGTCTGCTCCTCCTCGAAATCTTCCATGAGTCCCGCCGCCTTGCTCTTTTTGTTTTTCTCGTCATCGCGTTGCTGAGACGTTACAACGGGACGGGACGGAGGGCGGTGGGGGCGCACGAACCGCGGTGGTCAAAACAAAAATGATGTTCGGCGTCTCCTTGCTGCTCAAACGAGCATTGAGGCATTGGTGCTCATCTCCTGTTTACAGCTCTGAGCCAGTGTTGGAAATTTCCTTTTTCTATGATGGGGGCCACTCTCTCCAAAGGACTCATTTATGACGGGCAAAATCAACCCCCCCAACCGGGATTTGAACTCGCCACTTTTCAATTGCGAACCGTTCACTCACTACCGAGCCACCTGGCCTTACATTCACCACCCCGTGGTCGTTCAAATCAATTCCCTTTCCATTCAGAATGAGTGGCACCACTGCAAATAAAGGCATCAGCTGTGGTTGTGTTGTGCCCCAACGCTCGACAATATGCAACAGCTGCTGTTGTGAAGGCTCGAGGAACGGTGCCAGAGATGGAGATATTGACAAAGGATTTGGTATCAGGTGCTAGGGTGAGGAAGTATGATTATGTTTGTTCCTGTGAAGTTCACTCATTGATTTCTCTGCCCATGTTGAGACTCACCGTTTTATCTCACCCACACTCTTCTTCCACCACACTGAAGATCGCAACAGCTCACTCATTCACCCACCGGCTCACTACACTTCTCTTTCTGCGTTTTCTTCTCTCACAATCCCCGACATCGGATTTCCCTCCCATCGTTTCCTTTCCCAAATTATTTTATAAAAAAACACTAGCATAAGTACCCGGCGTTGCCCGGGTGAAAAATATATTTCTTAATAACCTTACATATATACACAATTGGCTGCTACCCCCGCCCCCCCCCCCCCCCCCAGCCACGATCTCCTCGGCCGCTGTGCAGTAATATGTACGGCCTATAGTGTGGTGGGGTGTCGAGGCCTAGTACCGTGCAGAGCCTCCGGCCTCGCCTAGATTGCCCACCCGGCTGAGGCTGGGTACGGGTGCCGTTCCCCCCCCCCCCCGCGCTACAATAATACTGTCTAATCGCTATAATTTTATTATCTACCGACCCTATAATAGTAATTGCACACATTGGGGTGGGGGGGGGGGAGTGAAGAGGACGTGAAACTTTGATGAATTTACCTCAGAGTCGCGTGTGAATGCGTGCGCATATTTTTAACGGGAATTCAAAATGGCGTCCACCCCGCAGCGAATGCGTCGCTACCCGTTGCCAGGGGCAACCGCCGTGGAAAACCAAACGGACCAATCGCGTCTCGCAAATCCCTCACATTTCGTCCAATGAAACTGCGTATGGTCCGGCGACACACAGACAGACAGACAGATTTGCGATTTTATATATATAGATTGCCTTTGGGCTTGTGCTCAAACATGTTAAAACAGACAGTGTAAGAAATAATAGAGCAAGGCAAGTTCTTGGGACGTGAGCTAATTATTGCATTAAACCAGGGGATTTTCGACATCTTCAGTTTTCAATTATTTTTGACTAGATTGTATTTGCTGTAGGCCTTCCAGTTCTGGAAATGGATTACAAGCCCCAACCCATTATAGTCTCAACAGCCTGAAACCAATGCTTTTATATCGATCCCTGGCTTGTGGGAGCACGGGGCAAAATAATCATGCTCGTGGCATTATGTAATTGAATTTCAAGCCAAGAGGATAGTGGTAGCTCATGGGGAATTATGGATTCCCAGTGCTTTGCATGTGCTTGAATCGAAGTTTGCTGAAATCAGGAACGCGATGCCACTTAGAAAGTTGTGATGTATTGCCAAACGTGCAGAGTCCGTACCATTTGAAGTTTCTTCTTGAGCTCCAGGTTGGCATCTTTGTAAGATTGAGACACTGCCTGTAAGTAGTACAGGGCTAGCCTGATGGGTGCAGGGCAAAGGGAACAGGGCCATCACAAACGGCACAGCACATTTCCAATCTGGTATTTTGCTACAGTTGGACCCATGTTACACACGGGCTATACATGAGGACTCTAACTTAAACATCTCATACTCTTTGGGTTTTTCGGTGAAGTCACGTAGATAGAAAAATGATAAAATAGTAAAAAATCACGATGTTTCGATCGCAACAAGCAATCGTCTTCAGGTGAAAAAATACAGCAGGCGGACTGCTGAGGCAGGAAGAAATATAGCGCTATATTTCTTCCTGCCTCAGCAGTCCGCTTGCTGTATTGTTTCACCTGAAGACGAATGCTTGTGTTGTGATCGAAACGTCGTGATTTTATTTTATTTTATTATTTTTCTGTCTACATGACTTTACCAAAAGACCCAAAGAGTATGAATTTCTGCAGTCACGAACGCTTTAAGTCAAGATTTAAACATTTTACACGTAAGTTGATACAACAGTTCCTCTGGGGCTAAAGAGGGTAGAGTTTTGAATTAAGATTATAGCGTCATCCCTCGGTTAACGTTTTAAATCCGTTCCACGAAAACTGTTAACCGAAATAAATGTTAATCGAATTCACTTATAAGTTGAAAAATAAGTAAAAAATCATTGAGTCTGCAGGAGAGCTGTTTCCACCACCAAAACAGAAAGCGTTGTATGAACAAAGGCAGTCAAGGTCTAAACGCTCATGAATGGGCGTCGCTGATTGGCTGAGGCCATGGCTCAGCCCCACTTACTAGCAGTCAGATTGCCCGAAATTGGCGCTCGCGTGCATAACATAAACACATTACCAGTCAGAATGTTAGTGTTCGTCGAAACCATGGGGTCACTATGAGAGGCGAAACGTTAACCAAAAAAAGGTTAATCGATGTCACTGTTAACCGAGGGACTAATATAATTTGTTTCTGTTTGATGCAAATTAGACTTATACTGTATTACCAGCACATTGTGATATGCAGTGGGTGCAGAGACATCAATCTCGGAGATTAAGGAACTACTCTCTGGGATTTAACTCCAGGAGACCTTGTTCCCAGGATCCTATACACTTTCAGGAATAGTTTAATGAATGGCGACACGATTGTCCAGTGGTAGTACTTGTGGCTTACAGCATGAAGGGCCCGAGTTCGATTCCCAACTCGGGCGAATTTGTGTGTGGTTTGCATGTCCTTTCCCTGTTATGCATGACAACAAAAAATTACATGTGATAGAACTAGTATTTGCCAAACATCCCAATGCTGAAAATTGACCTGCAAATTACTCAATTGGGATTACACGCAGCAACGTTGCCACCGACTGCGAAAACATGGCAGGATCCTCCTCAAAAAGAGTATTTTATGGGTAAACAAGCATCAAAATAAAAACTGTGAATGAAAACCTCAAAGTGATGGGTTCATCATCATTATGACAAAAGGGATGTGAGAAACAATATAGCGAGGTGCTGATACAGTGAGGGAAAGAAGTATTTGATCCCCTGCTGATTTTGTACGTTTGCCCACTGACAAAGAAATGATCAGACTATAATTTTAATGGTAGGTTTATTTGAACAGTGAGAGACAGAATAACAACAACAAAAATCCAGAAAAACGCATGTCTAAAATGTTATAAATTGATTTGTATTTTAATGAGGGAAATATGTATTTGACCCCCTCTCAATCAGAAAGATTTCTGGCTCCCAGGTGTCTTTTATACAGGTAACGAGCTGAGATTAGGAGCATACTCTTAAAGGGAGTGCTCCTAATCTCAGCGTGTTACCTGAATAAAAGACACCTGTTCACAGAAGCAATCAATCAGATTCCAAACTCTCCACCATGGCCAAGACCAAAGAGCTCTCCAAGGATGTCAGGGACAAGATTGTAGACCTACACAAGGCTGGAATGGGCTACAAGACCATCGCCAAGCAGCTTTGGGAGGAAGGTGGCAACAGTTGGTGCGATTATTCGCAAATGGAAGAAACACAAAGAACTGTCAATCTCCCTCGGCCTGGGGCTCCATGCAAGATGTCACCTCGTGGAGTTGCAATGATCATGAGAATGGTGAAGAATCAGCCCAGAACTACACGGGAGGATCTTGTCAATGATCTCAAGGCAGCTGGGACAATAGACACCAAGAAAACAGTTGGTAACACACTACACCATGAAGGACTGAAATCCTGCAGCGCCCGCAAGGTGCCCCTGCTCAAGAAAGCACATATACATGCCCATCTGAAGTTTGCCAGTGAACATCTGAATGATTCAGAGGACAACTGGGTGAAAGTGTTGTGGTCAGATGAGACCAAAATGGAGCTCTTTGGCATCAACTCAACTCGCCGTGTTTGGAGGAGGAGGAATGCTGCCTATGACCCCAAGAACACCATCCCCACCGTCAAACATGGAGGTGGAAACATTATGCTTTGGGGGTGTTTTTCTGCTAAGGGGACAGGACAACTTCACCGCATCAAAGGGACGATGGACGGGGCCATGTACCGTCAAATCTTGGGTGAGAACCTCCTTCCCTCAGCCAGGGCATTGAAAGTGGGTCGTGGATGGGTATTCCAGCATGACAATGACCCAAAACACACGGCCAAGGCAACAAAGGAGTGGCTCAAGAAGAAGCACATTAAGGTCCTGGAGTGGCCTAGCCAGTCTCCAGACCTTAATCCCATTGGAAATCTGTGGAGGGAGCTGAAGGTTCGAGTTGCCAAACGTCAGTCCTCGAAACCTTAATGACTTGGAGAAGATCTGCAAAGAGGAGTGGGACAAAATCCCTCCTGAGATGTGTGCAAACCTGGTGGCAAACTACAAGAAACGTCTGACCTCTGTGATTGCCAACAAGGGTTTTGCCACCAAGTACTAAGTCTTGTTTTGCAGAGGGGTCAAATACTTATTTCCCTCATTAAAATGCAAATCAATTCATAACATTTTTGACATGCGTTTTTCTGGATTTTGTTGTTGTTATTCTGTCTCTCACTGTGAAAATAAACCTACCATTAAAATTATAGACTGATAATTTCTTTGTCAGTGGGCAAACGTACAAAATCAGCAGGGGATCAAATACTTTTTCCCTCACTCTATGATCAAACCGAGCTGCTTTACCCCTCCTACACTCATGTCGTAGTTTAGGCCATCAACTCTGAGAGTTGATAAAACGTGACCATCACATGAAAGCAAAGCCGCGAGGCTGGTGGTGTAAGACAGGAACAAGCAGATGTATTTCACTTGGCCCCATTGTCTCTCGAAGACAACAGAAGGGAACTAAAGCAGAATAAGATCTTATTTCAAGCCACGTGATGTATAAACAAAAGACTTGTAGTTCAATTACAAGCCATCCATTTTGAGGGAAATGCAACCCAAAAAATGAAACAATTCTCATAACGCTTACCTTTTGCCAAGAAAATGTAAGCTGGTAAAAGCAGCATGAATGTAAAATAAATAGACTTCACAGTAGGGCAGCATTATGGTGATGAAATTTCATCATTGCGTTTGAAATATGGGAATTATACTTTGGTTCTTTCGGTAAAGGCACGTATAAAGATAAAATAATAAATTAAAATTAAATACTAGCATACGACGTTTCGATTGCAACACAAGCAATCATCATCAGGTATAAATTAATAGAAACACAAATCTAGTATACTTAGAAATGTAATGTAATACAACAGAGAGTCGGATAACATAACAGTCAACACCCTATCTGGTTGATTACGTTCTCTATGTTGTATTACATGTTTGCTCTCTCTCTATGCATCTCTGTGATATCTGTCTGCTTATATGTCTGTCTATGTTTCTGGTTCTGTGTTTAATCTCTCTCTCAAATTTAGCATTCTCAGGAAGAACGTAATCAACCAGATAGGGTGTTGACTGTTATGTTATCCGACTCTCTGTTGTATTACATTACATTTCTAAGTATACTAGATTTGTGTTTCTATTTAATTTATACCTGATGATGATTGCTTGTGTTGCAATCGAAACGTCGTATGCTAGTATTTAATTTAAATTAATTATTTTATCTTTATACGTGACTTTACCAAAATAACCAAAGAATAATTCGTGCAGTCACGAAAGCTCCAAATTAAGTTTTTATGGGAATTATATTTAACTGAGATTTATGTTACAGACTTTAAGCACGTTTGCAATTATTTTTAGACTTGCCCATGAGCAAAATGGCGACAGCGCCGCAGCTGGCTGCAGTCCCAGATCGCTCTCAGTTTATCAACTTTAACCACACCTCGTACTTTACCCACGTCCTTCTTCATTAACCACCACTCTTCTTACTTTCATCTTCCACTACATTTTTCTTATTATTTATTTCGTTTGATTATTTTCATTATTACTTTGGCGTCGCCCAAGTTCTGGGTGGTGGCAGATCCCTGCCTCCAACCCCGACTGCCTTTGCATTCACTGCATACGCCTCGCGGCGCTACAACAGCTGGAAATGCCGGCTGCTGCAGTGTCACACAACCCGGCTTAACTGCCGCATCGCACAGCTGAGGGGCAGTGCGGGTAAACGAGGCCTGCTGCTCCGACTCACGAGGTTGGAGGACGCTGGCTGCATTGTTCAAGCAGTGCGGCTTAACAGCCGCCCTGGGTCCGGTTCCTGCCAGCAACGTCCTCACAAGGCACCTCTTCCGGCACTATCAGTGAATGGGAGCTTGGCGTGCCCCAGCATCGCCAGCAAGTGGGAGCTCGACGTGCTCCATCCACTGTTCAACACCATCAGCGAGTGGGAACGTGAAGCAGACTGTCATCTCCTCAACACGAGAGAGTTGGTTTGCCTGCTACCCAGCACCACCAGTGAACGGGAGCTCTGCGAAGTTCGTCCACCCTGCTGTATCATCAGCGAGCTGGAGCACAGCGTGTGGTCAGCCAATCCAATGGACCTCGTGTTCTTCTGGCTGCTCCATTGTATACCTCACCTGCGTGGTTGTGTCCCCCGTGTACGTGCTCAACGAGTGTTTACACGGACGTGTATGCATCCGCTACGTATGGGGAAGTGCTTG